ATACAAAATTATTTTTTGAATGTGCTTGGCAAAAAAAAGTAAGTAAAGCAATTCAATTTCGTTTGCTAAACATTTTCATTGGGTTTTTATGTGATATTATTGCAATTGAGACTACTATTCAAATTAAATATATATTGGCGACTATACGTAGTCCTCCTGCCTTCAATCTATAAACAAAACCACATCGGACACCATTGCAAGCTGATAATGGCATTTTTAAAAAGGTACATGCACAAGGATTCATTTTCAGCAATAGTAGAGTTATAGTTGGAGACTTTGATCTGAATATATACACAACAAAACACTGTAAACGCACATATAATAAGATGAACTTAATGTTATCGGTCTGGTTTTGTATATTTTTACTAGCTGATGTTAAACCTCCAGTTCGACCAAAACCCACAGAAAGAGAAGGTAAGCTATTAGTTAATATCGATAAGCATTTTCCTAAATGTGAGGCGAAAGATACCGAAGGGATATTCAAACTCACAGGTCGCAAATAAATCGCAAAAATCCCCCCCCCCCAAAAAAAAAAAAAAAAGTGGTAATCACTCTCTTCGTCCCTGATGCACTTGTAATGACCATTATGTTGCTCCCACACTATATCAAGTTATATAAAAACATGACCTTTAGGGTCAGATTGATCTTTTATTTCGTCGTCTTTCTTTTATTATGATAACATAAACATATCCTGGATTTTGGAAAGGTGTTGGTTGATCATTTCACTTAACTTATTAAAAGTTAGTAACTCCTCTATGTATATATATTAGTTTGCTGATGAGAATAATCGTTTCATACCGTGGTAATGCATTTTATTTTATATGGAAGTGGACGAATTAAGGAATAAATTGTGCAAAATCTAAATGGCTGAGTTATTCATTCACTTGCATTTCAATTAAAATGTTAATACTGATGTGCATACAGGTTTTTTTTTAATTTCAAAGCAAACACTTTAGCTCGTGAAATACTGCATTTGCTGATTATCAACAACAGAAGAAGAAAATAGGACACAAATTTCGAATTTTTATACTTCGGTGTAGGCATCTTTTTTTCTGTTTGTTCAGAAGGTTCATTTACTTTTATATGTTTTTCATTTTGTAATGAATTATTTTCGATTAAATCGTGCGAGTAAAGATCGATCTCTGCGTTCACATTTAAAGTCATATTAGTTCACTTTATATCAAATCAAACTAAATTATATTCTTGATATTTTACGACCGGTTCAATATTAATTCAAAACATCCATCTTTGACTTAAATCAATCTAAAGTGAATCAGTGTAGTTTTTATCTGTATCAATGGCCAATTGTATAGGAATCCAAAATCAAATAATTATCTCTTCCCTTTACAGATACCTACGTACACCGTTCGCCTGAGAAGTATGATCAACCTCACAGAGATGGTATGTTGAAAGTTCAAAGACGACTATTGCAGTTTTATTGACTATTAATAGGAATATGTACCACGGAGATCTTTTTATTTGTCATCGCCATAATTGTGTTTTTGTCATCGTCATAATTTCGTTTTGTTTTTCGTCAAAAACATATTAAAAAAGTGTTTCGTTTCACATCACGAAGGTCGATATTTTAAAAGGTAAACTAGAAACTCGTATTCGTAATACAAAGTCCAATGTGTTGTTATTTATTTTATTCTCATTTGATTGATTAGTGTGCAGTGCCACTTTAGAACATTCAAAAACTAACATTTTCCCTTTTTATTGAAACATAAATTTCGTTGACAATTTCAGTTGCCTTGAGAAATGTCTTCTACGTTTTCACGTTATAAAAACCAAATGAAAATACATTTTAAAGGGTCCGTACGTAGCCTTAGATTAAAAAGTAGTGTATGGTAGCAGACGTTCCATAAGTTTGATAGTAATTCGAAGTTTATGTTAACAGTTGATGTTACTCATTAAACAAACTCATCAGAAGCATGCACACAAATTGTTAACCTGATATGTTACCCTATTCATTATTTTGTTTTTCTATCTTTTTGTAGAACCCAAGGAAGAAACTCGAATCATACTGCTAGGAAAAACTGGATCAGGCAAGAGCGCCACTGGCAATGCCATAATTGGAGACAACTTCTTTAAATCTAATCTCAGTGGCAAGTCGGTAACGAAAGAATGTCAGAAATTTGAAGGACAATGTAAAGGCAAAAAAATTGTATTAATTGATACGCCCGGATTGTTTGACACTTCTTATTCACAAAACACAATAACTGATGAAATCATTCACTGCGCTTATTTATCCTTACCAGGGCCCCATGTATTTTTGATTGTGCTTCAGATAACACGATTACCAAAAGAGGAAACTGAGGATTTACAGCAATTATTCGAACTTTTTGGCACGTCTATGGGTAAATATGTCATGATAGTTTTCACAAGATCAGATGAATTAAAAAGGGAAGGAAAAAGTATCGAGTCTTTTATTGCTGAAACTGGTTCACCTATAACTGATTTCATAAAGAAATGCAATGATCGTTATATTGCAATCAACAACAGTACAATAGGACAAGACAATAACTAATGGTCAAGGAGTTATTGAAGGTAATAAGAGATATGGTCAATGATGACAACGGTAGTCATTTTACAAATACGATTATTGATGAAGCTGCAGAAGCACTTGTTGAATTGAATGAAACAGAGAATTTAAACCATTTAGATGCAATGGTGTTCAACTCAGACGTAGACGAGAACGATAATGAAGGCTACAATAATTCCGTAGGAAGCCATGATTCCGTAATTTCCATACTATGTCAACCTATTTATGATGAAATATATGCTGAATTCCATCCTACTGTGTCCGATCTTTACGACCGAATCGACAAAACCACGTTGGAAATTGCTACCGAAGAGAAAAGTAAAAAAGAACTGCACGAAATAAGTGAGATGGCTATAAATGAAATCGATATAGAATTAGCAAAGAAAAGGAGAGAACTCGAAGATATCATAGCAAACCATGAACGTGTAATTAATCAATGCTGTTCAATTGAACAGCAAAAGAAAGAGCTTGAACTAAAGGCAAAGAACGATACTCATGAGTGTGATTCAAAATTGAAGCTGCTATACAAAAAGAATAACTACTTGAGAAAAAGAAGAGATAAATTGCTCTAAAAAAGAACGAATTAAGACAAAAAATTACAAAAGAGTCTGCAAATTTGCAAACCGAACTTAACACCCCTTAAAACGGTTGCTTGTTAATGTAAAATTTGAAATGAAAACTCTTAATATAAAGACGCTTCAAAATTTTCATTTGTTACCTTGTCGTAAATCTTTTCCTGTCAAATATAAAAAAGTGGTTTTAGGTTGATTTCAAACTTAAAGGTATGACTAGTTGTCTTCTTCCGGATTATTGCAACTAAATTGTTATGTTTATTTGTAATCTTTTTTCTAATCGTCAATTGTAAGCAACTTGATTTATGTTCAGCACAATTATCAATTCATTATAATTATTATATAAAAAATTGTCTTCTTCTTCTTCCCGGTTAAGAGTTGATATCTGTATTAAAGTGTAACCGACTCGGGCGAATCTCAGACAGACAGGATGCCACTCCTCTGGCCGAAAATATTTTGAATGCAAAGGAGTCGTTTTTTTTTTGTGGAGCGTCACTGATGAGTCTCATGTAGACAAAACGCGCATCTGGCGTATGAAATTATAAACCTGGTAACTTTTATAACTATATTCAGTAATATGATTTCAAAGCTTTCTATTTCTTTACATGTCGTTGAAATGGCACCTTTATCCAAACAATTTTAGATTAAGAAAGTCTTGTATCTGTGCAAACAAACACAACTAATACAGAAATGAATAGTAAAATGTATTAACACAATAAGTTACATCTGAAAAATATTGTAAAGACTGTATAGATAACGTTTAAGTACAATAAAGAACAGTCTTTTCATATACTATCATGAAGTAACATAACACCTAGTGCGACTACAATTTTCAATTATACTCACGCGTTGCAGGATCCAAAAATTGACATCTTCATGTCTTTACTGACTGATTTGACCTTTACATTGAATGTTTTAACCGTTCAAACTATTGCGAGTACAACTAGTACAATATAAATTACAAAATTGACGAGTTATTCCAGAAAACGGTTTGTGGCATGTAAAAATAGATGATCACTCTTTCCGAAGAAGTATTGCTTCAAGGTCAATATAGATTCATGTAGCATTTATCCTTCAGCACAAATATTACTATAAAACATCTGCTTAACCTTCCGGGGCACCTTGTTTTACGCCCATTTGTGTTGTGTGTTTTGTGTTGCTCAGTCTTTTGTTTTCTTTAATGTGCTTTGTGTTTTGTTTTGTTTTTTTTTTTCGCCACGGCCGTTCTTGGTTTATTTTCCCTTAATAAGTTTGAATGTCCCTAAAAGAAGTCATTTGTATGTATTGTCGATATAGTCTTATGTTAAATTGAGTTCCCCGCTGGCAGCCATCTTGGACGACTGATTGGCTTTAAAGTTACAACACTTGGTCAGGACTTCATAAGGAACATTCATGCCATGTTTGGTGTCATTCCATTTAGTGGTTCTCTAAAAGAAGACATTTGTATGTATTGTCCGTTTGGCCTATTGTTTAACGAAGTCCCCCCGCTGGTGGCTATTTTTGATTTTTGATCGGCTTCAAATTTACAACACTTGGTCAGCACCTAATGGGGAATATTCAGACCATGTTTGCTATCATTCCATCCAGTGGTTCTCTAAGAGAAGTTCAAAATGTAAAAAAATAACGACGACGACAACGGACGCCAAGTGATGAGAAAAACGTATTTGCCCCTTCGGGCCAGGTGAGCTAAAAGGCGAATCAAAATTATAATTTCAATAAATTTGATGGTTGACTTTTTAATATATGTATAAGAAAGGTATCATCAAATTCGATATACAATTATGAATCATCTCCTTAAACGTCTATGTCTTAAGTGTTTATGACTATATTCTATACAATATGATCACGTTATATCCGATCATTGATTTTGCGACAAGTTTACATATCAACACATCTCCATTGTCTTATTAATTTCCTGTCTGTATTTTCTATAAGTTGGACTACACCAGGTAAGATTAATTTAAAGTAATAATTCACTATTAATTAATTGAACTTAATTATTAGTAACTTTAATTTCAGATGGTAAATGGCATTCACAGTACCTATTTTCTATACCCGAATCAAATTACGACAGTGAATATCTGTTAAATGATGCTCGAAGCCAAACCATTTAAATCTTTGATTGATTGTTGGTTGATTAACGTTCAGTGGCAAATATTTTATGCATGTTCAAAACGAAATCAAATTAAATTGAAATACAATTGACAGGTCCTGTAATAATTTCCGTTATTGTATGCTGGATGTACATTTGATTATTCGCAAAAGAGGGGCAATTGAAACTCATAATTAAAAAATAAACTGACAAGACCCTGGATAAAAAGAAAAAAAAGACCGATAGACAAGAAACAGTACACAAAACGCAGCATAGAAAACTAAAGAATGAGCAACACGATCCTCAACAAAATTTTTGGATGATCTCAGGTGCAAGGGTAAGCGGATTCTTCTCCACATCTGTTTGAACTTGGTGATTAACTCGAAACCGTAAGCTGAAAGAGTGTCAAGTTTCTTCACGTAATAGAATCATTACAATAATTGTCTGAGAATTCGATAAGGTGCTTGTTGTAATTCAATTCTGCCGATATCCAACTTGCTCTCTTTTTCAGAAGGCATTCTGAATTTTCTGTTTCTCTTCCCGTTGAAATAACTTTTAAACCTAACGTCACAAACCTACCTATTAGAACTACTTTGACAAAAATAGATTTCTGAAAATGCATGATATATTTGCCTTTGGACAATAAAAAGGGAGTGTTTTACATACTCATTACAATTCCGCTACTAAATAATCGTATTTTTTTCTAAAAATGTATAAACAAAACATCAGTCAATGAATCACTTGGAAAAGATTAAAATAAGGACAAAAAAAAAAAACAATTATGATGATGTTCTTTATTTCCATACAAGATGACAAAGCTGCAATCGTCGTAGGCTTCATATAATACGAGTTCCTTAATACAGCAATTTTTTTTTAACATATTTTGGAATTAAATTTATGTTGTTTATGTGTTTGACAATTACAATAGAGTGTTTAAAGTTAATGAGATAACCCAAATTTGAGCTCTTAATTTTACGAAAAATGGAATATTTAACACATCTATACAAATTTCCGTTATCATAATATTTTGCGGATCAGAGTTGTATACGTACGAATGGACGATATGTGCAATAACTGCGAAAGACTTTTTTAAGGTGTGATATTTTCTAGCTTGTGCCCCTTTTTCGTTCAAAACATCCAATCATAGATTGTTTTGCTATAACAAACACTCATTTAAAAAAAAAACTGTCTTACAAAATCTAGTTACATACTATTGAACGAGTGTAATACACACTTAAATGCATGAACGCGGGATTTTCTCGCTGTGTTGATTACCTAATAGTGGCCTTTGGCTGTTTTCTGCTCTTTGGTAATGTTGTTATCTATTTGACACATTACCAATTTCCATTCTAAATTTTAAAACTACATTTTTATATGACATGATACAATTTATTTCTTAATTTATGTTTGTAGAATTCCGCACGGACCATGATGGCTTCAAAAATTACTTTAATACATTTGATAATTGTTCTTTGTATATGCAAATATGTTGTCTTGGCGATTTCGTTACCCTGTTATTTCAATGAAAAATGTCGCTGCACAAGTCTTCAACAACATACTGAAATGGGTAGAGAGGTGATGCTGAAGGTCGATTGTTCAAACAGAAAATTACAGGATATACCAGATTTACCAGCAAATGTGTATACTTTGAGTTTGAAGAAGAACAATATTAAACGGATAAACGATTACACGTTTAGTCATTTGAGACATCTTTCTGAATTGGATATATCGTACAATAAAATCACACGTCTAAATATATTCTCCTTCAACGGATTGTCAAATCTTCTGATCTTAAATCTTAACAACAATCCTTTACCGTACAATGAAAGTGCAATTCCAAATGAAGTGTTTAAATCGTTGGTATATTTGATACATATAAGTATTAGATCTTCTGTCCATTATATTTATTCATTACCAGAAGTAGCGCTATCAAGCTTGAAATTGCTAAAAACATTAGAAATAGATCTTCCATTATTTACTTCATACAAAGTAATTTTCGGGAAATGTTTTGACTCTTTATTACATCTTGAAACTGTTAAAGTTGGTACATGCTTCTATTTTCGGATAAAAAACGACACTTTCTCTCATTTGGTTCACTTGAAGAAAATATACTTTGACATATTGTGTGAGATCTCAATTCTACCTGAATCACACCATGGTTTGCAAAATCTGCACAAAATAGAAATGCATTATTTCTATAATTATGATGTTTTTTCACTTGGCGATGCAATTAAAGAATTGAGCATGACACCTGTTCAGACGATTATCTTTAGAAATACATTTGTGCATGGAACAGTAGATAATATTCACGTATGGAACATACTTGCCTCTGGTTTACACGATTCGTCAGTACGACATTTGCAAATTACGGAAAACAACCCAGATGGTCTTTTTCCAGTATCGCGAATAGACCCTGTTCCACCATCAATACTAACATTAAACCTTTCAAGTAACAAACTTGACCATTTTGTATTGGAATTGACGAATGTACAGAAACTAATACTACGAGACAACCATCTTGGGGATCTTTTGTGTTTGAAAATTGATAACAAACACAGGGGAAGAAATTCCAAACTAGAATACGTTGATATATCTACAAATAATATTTACAAATTAAAACACTCAATATTCCAGGGACACGTAGAACTAAGATATATCAATTTAAGTCACAACCATTTACAAGAAGTCTTATTTGACTTGTCACGGTCAAATAATCTAAGTTTATTAGATTTATCCAACAATTCCATCTCAGCTTTTGATCAGAATTCAATGAGAATGTTTGATAATATTTCTCTAACTTCTAACCTTACGATTTATTTATTAAATAATTCATTACAATGCACATGCAAAACATTGATATTTTGGAAATGGGTAGTCGTAACTCGTGTGAAAGTATTCTTTGATCGAAGATGTTCATCTGAGGATGGAGTTGTCATTCGATTCGTTTCTACAAATAAAAGAATTCAAGAGTTAGAAAAAGAGTGCATATCATATGTCAGTTTCATCATCATTGCTTCAATTGTTCTGGTGGCTACTCTGATTTGTATCGCTTTTGCCGTTGTTTATAAATACAGATGGAAACTTCGATATATGTTTTACCTTGCTAAAAGCAAACAACATAGACATAAGGCAAGCACTGATTGTAAACATTATGTATATGATGCTTTTATTTCTTACTGTGAGCATGACAATTCATTTGTCATAAATGATTGCATTAAAAACTTAGAAATGGAAAGAAACTTCAAACTATGTTTACATCAACGCGACTTTATACCAGGTGAAGAAATTACGACTAATATAACAAATGCAATACATGAAAGCAGAAAGACTATATGCATTGTAACGAAACACTTTTTCGATTCTTATTATTGTATGTTTGAGTTTAATATGGCCCGAATGGAAAGCATTTATTCAAGAGATAAAAGGAACATTATTTTTCTGATATTTTTAGAGCAAATTCTACCTCAAAATATGCCCCTGATGTTGTTAGAACTTGTACAAAAAGACTCGTATATTGAGTATCCAAATGATGAACAAGGAGATATTGTATTCTGGGAGAAAATAGACGAAGCATTGCGTCAATAACATTTAATGTGGTACAAAGAAATTACACGTAGATAACTCTGAAAAAATCGGCATGACGTTTTACTCACGTTCTATTGTTAAGGAAATATTACGCTTCTTAATGTTCAAAATAAGTGTTTGTCAAACTGCTATTTATCCAATGAAAAAAATAAAATGTGTTAAAGAGACAACAAAAATATTATGAAAATTAAAATAGTCAAATTAGTTTTAATCAATTTGATTGTACATCCTTAATACGAATAATTATTACAAAAATTAAAAACAAAGACATTTCGAACATAAAACTTATATACAAGTATAGCATTCTTTCCAAATTGTTTAATATATGGTCATTGAAACACCTGAATTTGATCAGAAACGGAAAAAAAAGTTGGAACATAAAACTAATGCAAATGAAATCATCCATTCCCATTTGGTTTGTATACCTTTAATTTGAAGTTGACCAGAAAAGGATATGACTAATGATTTCGTATGCTAAGGATGTTGGCACCTCTTGTTTTCGGATTTTTGCCAGATATTCGGAATCCTCTGGATTTATCCATGTAGCAATTAACCTTGCTATTTATTCATAATTTTTCATGTAAAATGTATGAAAAGAATATAGAGGATTATTTCCCGCCAATTTTTCAATGTCTTATATCTCAAAAACATGCCTTCTTTTTTCTGTTTTTTTTTTTTTTTATTTCCTTTATCTATATACAATCAATTTATAACAGTCTTTTAAAAAGCTTTTCGCTTTGAAACAAAGTAGCGAACATCCTTAAGAGATACATTTATCCTGATTTTTTTCTGTGAACTTTGATGATCTGCTTATAATTCGTCTTCCTTTTATGTGACTACTGTATTCTGTCATTCACTTTCGTCAACATTTTTTCAAAGGTTCAGAAGCAGAAAAAAATCATAATTAAATTTTGAATTTTTAATATACGGTTAATGGCAAAAGTTCTTTGACAGCTAAATTTTTTTTTTGAATGTGTTTCACCGATTATACATTTCGATCATATTTTTTCCTCATTTCCTCATTTCTTGCGTTTAGGATTAGTGTTTGCCTTGCAACAAGAAGCAACAACATATTTATATTACTACATACAGAAATAAATCTGTGTGTGAAAGTTTTCTTATATATCATTTATTAGTTGAATGCCATTTGGAAAGTAAAACATATATCAATGATTTTAATTGTCGATGTTCTAGCATTCAATCAAATATGCTTCATTTGATCCGTTCCAGTAGACGATATAATATCATAAGGTATATGTGAACTCATTGTGGTCTATATATTGCTAAAACATTGTGTGATGTACACCATGCCTGCTGAAGGGCACTCACATTCTGCTGGTATACAACATAACATATTTTTCCAGTGACAATTTGAATTTATCCCGTTTGACCCAATTTTGCAAATCCATCATATTTATTTTTGGTTCATGTTTGTCCCTCCTTAATGTGTATGAGACATAAGCGTCGTTGAGATAAACGTCTTTGTCTATTTTGAAATAAAATTGAGAACGGAAATCGAGAATATGTCAAAGAGACAACAACCCAAACAAAGAGTAGATATTTATATAGTCATTATCAAAATTTATTAACGTATATGTAAATATTAATATTAATATTATTGGTTTTTTTTTTCATTTATTTCTCGTTGTATTTTCGTCTCTTATCTTCAATATATACTTGTCGATGTCTTCACTTTGAATACACCGTCTACTATATTTAGTGACATTATGTTTTCTAGCGTTGGTGTCCGTCCCTTAACAAAACAGTAAAAGTTTTGAATTTTGATGTCCATTAACAGAAAACGTAATACGCTTGTTAATTCTGATGTTAAATTTCAAAAATAAATTCCGCTTATATATCTTTTAAATGAACATGAAAGAATTACCGTGGAAATTACCATGTTTCTAAATAAATGTCTTCCAAAGTAAACTTTCGTGTTCATACATATCAATTGGAGACTTATTACACTAGTTCATTGTGATGTTGGTTTGCATAGCTTTCTATAGTGCGCGATGTTTTCTATACTGTTTTCTTCCATGTTGATAACGGTGTGTCGACTTTTATTTAATTACAGCCTGGTCTTTAAGTGTTGATGATTATACGCTATATAGGACTGTATAAATATACTAGCAATTAGAAATGTACTGTTAGACATTTTGAAGATAAATACAGATAAGATTTACAGATTTTTAAAAGACATTGTATTAATGATAAATAACATTTTTTCTCTTTTAATTGGTAAATTGTTTGTAGAATTTTGTTGTAGATTTGTTTGCTATTCTGTAAAAACGAATTTTCTGGATGCTATATAGATTAAAAAAATGACAAAGAGAAAACCGTAAAACAACTAAGCTGATACTGTCCATATATATGTAATACACATATATTGCAGATTTTCGGCCCAGTTTTCAAGTTGGTTCACCCCCCGGTGGATCGCTATCCTTGCCGTGGTCGGGGGGCTTGCGTGTCTCAGTGACCCCAAGAGCTATGCCAGTTGGAGCTTCGTCTCCTGGTAGGGTTACCCATGCTGGACAGGTCGAAGGGTAGAGACCAGACTAAAGTGATCCGAACATCGTATGAGTTGCCCGATGTTTTAAATAAAATAGGCTCTCCAACCCGTTGGCCGTGGGTTGCTACCCGTGTCGGTGGTTGACGAGATCCTTGCGGATGAGGGCTGTAGCCAGACTTCTTACGGTCAGAAAAATACCCGGACGGACGAGACTATAGTTCAATAAGCTGCTTTGGCTCCAATATCATCTAAACGGGAGGTCGGATGGACCCGGTTCGATCAATCGGCTGGTCATGTCGAGCCCTTCAGTTAATCCTCAACAATAAGCTTTCTTGTAACAATTTTCATTATATACACATGTGTTTTAAATTAAGCTATTTATATTTCGGATAACTGAAGAAGGCGATGGCTCATGGGTCAATCAAGTGGTACGCTTTCTATTTCGCTTGATGGATACGCTCTGCTTGAGTATACTATTCTTGGAACATCTGGTGCTTTCCGCAGTGGATCTTGGGTGCTAATTTTGGGGACCAGCTACGTTATACATGTTATACTTGGAGCTCGTTTTCAGCATTAGCACTTGACCCCGGCTCGCCACGGAAACACAGCATCGCCCTTGTAGGCACTCCGAGGTGGGTGGATGACAAGAATGGTGAATCTTTCTCATTTCCTATGGCACAACAAAACCAACCCTCTAAATCAGCTTTAATACATAAAAAAAGAAAATGTGATGATTCAGTGCCCTGTCAGGAAGATGACAGTTGGCCCAGATTTATTGTAATAAAAGGAACAGATGAAAAACCAATTTCCAAAATATCTCCCTTTGTGATTCACAAACAAATTCAAAGCGTTGCTGGTACTGTAAAAAAAGTTTCAAAAATAAGATCAGGCAATTTGTTGGTTGAATGTTCCAACAAAAGTCAGTCAACAAATTTGCTTACACTGACAACAATTACAAACTTTCCTGTTTCTGCCTCTCCTCACAACAGTTTGAACAGCTGTAAGGGGATCATTCGAGACAGAAGTCAATACCTTGGTGACCTTACCGTGGAAGAAATCTGTGAGGAACTTTCAAGCCAAGGTGTAACTGATGTTGTTAGATTTCAAATAAAAAAGAATGGAAATATAATCAAATTAAATACATATCTTTTGACATTTAGAACTCCAACTCCTCCTCCATCTATTACTTTAGGTTGCTTCGGAATCAGAGTTGACAGGTTTATCCCTAACCCAATTCGATGCTTCACTTGTCAAAAGTTTGGTCATGGAAGCAAACAATGTCGTGGTACGCAGAGATGCTTCAAGTGTTCTGACGAAGGACACGAGGGAACAACTTGTAGCTCTGAATCTTCTAAATGCGTAAACTGTGGTGAATCCCATTTTTCATCATATAGGGACTGCCCTGTTTACCTTAAAGAAAAAAATATTATCAAAATTAAAACAGAAAGAAACATCAGTTACCCAGAAGCTAAACAGATAGCTTCTTTTTCGAATGATCTCCTTGTTTCGAACAGACCATCGTACGCCAGCAAAGTTGTCCGCTCATTCAGTCACGAGCATACACAAACTCGCATGACCTGGCCAATTGATGCTGAGACATTTACAATGCTGCCTGTTGAAACAGAACCTAACGATAAAATATTAGTTCCAAGAAAACCAACACCTTCTAAAACCAGTACTCAGTCAACTCAATCTTCCTTACAGAGCTCAATGTCATCATCTAAAAATAATGAAAAAAAGAAATCAAATAAAAAAGATACAGTTAAATCAGACAGTTGGGGCGGTGAATCTGTCTGGGATCTTCCCAGTGACATAGATGATTCTTCCATCTCCAATAGTCCTCCTTCATCTGCATCTAATAAAACTAGTTTATCTTCTGCATCTAGTACAAAGTCTTCTAAAGCCCCGTCTCCTCTTCGTTCTCCAGAACAGAAGGATGTCCCAAAGAAGCCAGCAACTACATCCTCTCAGAAGTCTTCTGATTCGAGGTCGCGGGGTAGGGGTCGAGGCGGAGTAAAACCAGCTGCGCATGGTCCTGGAGATCGACGACTCTCCTCACACAACAGATTTTCAACACTTAACGACGAATCAGAAATGGAAATCGAAAGTGTTCCGCCACCCGAAAGTTTACAATCTCAGGGTGAGCGAAATAAGAATGCTGGCAAACTCGATAGCATTCGCCCGTCTATTAACAAATCATGACTAATATCATCCAATGGAATTGCCGAGGTCTTAAAATAAATCTTCTCGAGTTAACGCTTCTAGTTCAGTCATTTTTACCTACTGCATTTTGTCTTCAAGAAACTCATTTAAAAGAAAGTGACAATGTATCTTTGAAAGGATACAACATGTATAGCACATTTTCTAAGGTAGATGAACGTGCTGCAGGCGGATCATCCATTTTTGTGAAGGACAACGTCATTCATAGCACAGTCCAACTCACCACGGATCTGCAGGCAGTTGCAATTCGTTTATCATTAGATAAAACAATTACATTATGTTCTATATATATTCCACCCAATTCAATTATAGATAAAGCTAAACTCAAAAACCTCACTGATCAATTACCCTCACCATTTATACTTATGGGCGACTTCAATGCACACAACCCCTTGTGGGGAAGCAAGTCTCATAATATCAAAGGTAAGATCATTGAGGACTTTGTCTCTCAAGAAGGATTATGCATTTTTAATAATGGATCT